ATTTTTTTTAAATGCACAGGCCTGAACATATGCCTTCTGTTTGCAGTATGAATATATGCTGCTTCTAGAAACCCTAAATAAACCTAAATTGGAGCTTTACTGATGATCTCAAATTGTTTGATAGTGTACCTATTATTGCGCTCTGCATTGTTTAGCAAGTGTTGCCCAATCACAAAATCACATCTAACTGTAGTTGTTTTAGAGATAGAAGGAACTGCCAATGCTGGAGAATCTGAGACAACAAGGTGTCGAGCTGGATGAACACAGCAGGCCAGGCAGCGTCAGAGGAGCAGGAAAGCTGACGTTTCGGGCCTAGACCTTTCTCCAGAAGAAGGGTCTAGACCCGAAACGTCAGCTTTCCTGCTCCTCTGATGCTGTTTGGCCTGCTGTCTTCATCCAGCTCTACACCTTGTTGTCTGTAGTTGTTTTAGTTTGGATTTTGCATGCGCAGACAGGTTGAGTATAGTCTGTACTTTGCTTATTATAGACAAAGGAACAATTTGATCAATCAGTCAGCACCTGGCAGCAAACCAGCACTAAAATTCATTCATAACGTTGCCAAATTGTACACTGGGGAGAATGTCTTTTGGACTGAAAGCAACATTGTATTATTGGAAACTTCTACTAATGTAGCTGGTGCATAGTAGCAGTGTAAAATGACTTCTTTAACCTGTTGTTGAAATTTTTGAGATACTTTACCTTTTCAGGGTATTTTGAGTTGAACCAGACCTTTTTTAAATGTAGTATTAAATTTTAACAAAGTTCTGCCTCAAATTCTGAACAGTTCCTCCACAACCACCGTCTCTAACCTAAAGAGATTTGGGAGACAATATCCGGTCATGCTGTCTGATCCATAAGTGCACTGATGCTCAATGGAAAGCATTCAGCTCACAAACATACTGAATCCGGTTAATGAAATTTCCAGAGAACCCTCTTTGCTGATGCATGACAAAAACAAATAACTTCAACGCATGCTAGGCTTGAAGTGTTAATGACTTTGCCTAAATAGAATGACATGATAGGTTAGTTATTGCTAAACTTCAAATTGACAGTTTAGCAGGTAATTAAAACTCTAAATGCAGACTTTAAATCAACTAGCTGCATTTATTCCAAACTCAATCAGAGGGTTTCCTAAAGGGGCAAGAATCAACAGAAGCTGCAGCTTTTGGTTCAAACTATTGCATATTTCAGGAGGTTAAATATGAAACAAAACTGTTTAAAAGCAATTGCCAAGAAAAGTAGCATTTAACTGAGGCCAGTGTGGGCAATGGCAAGATTTGTGGCAGAATCAAATGAGAAATCCAGTAAGACTTATCTTGATGTCAGGAGACCACTATTCCATTTGCCTTCCTCTCACCTGCCGAACCTGAATGCTAGCTTTTTAAGAAATGTAGAAACATAGCACAAAGTCCATTCGACCCTTTGAGCCTGCTCCACCATTCATATGATCAATGCAGCTCAGTACTCTGTTCCTGATTTTTGCCCCATACCCTTTGATCCCTTTAGCTCTGAGAACTGTATCTTGTTCTTGTAAACATTCAATGTTTTGGCCTCAACTGCTTTAAATGGCAGAGAATTCCACAGGCTTACTACTCCATGGGTGAAGAACTTCCTTCTCAACTCAGCCTTAAATGGCCTACCACATATCCTTAGTCTGTGACCCCTGGTTCTGGACTCCCCATTTATTGGAAGTATCCTTACTGTGTTTACTGTCTCCCGTCCTGTTAGAGTTCATGCATGTGGCCCCCCAATCCCCCACTGCTGTAGCTTTCTGCAGTCTTACTCTAATTAAATAATATTCAGCTTCACTATTCCTCCTGCCAAAGTGCATACCTGACATTTTCCCACATGATATTCCATCTGCCAAGTTTTTGCCCATTGGCTTAACCTGTCTGTATCCCTCTGTACACTCTGTGTCTTCTTTACCACTTACCTTGCCACCTATTTTTACATTATCTGCAAACTTGACTACAGTATGTTCACTTTGTTCATCCAAATCATTAATATATATTGTAAATAATTGGGGCCCCTGCACTGATCCCTGTATGGCACACCATTCGTGCCAGGTTGCCATGCTGAAAATGTTCCCCCTCATCTGAACTATCTGTCTTCAGTTAGTTAGTCTATCCATGCTAAAATACTACCTGCAACCTATGGGTTAATGTGTCATACTTCATCAAATGCCTTCTGAAAATCCAAAAATGTTACATTTACTGGTTGCCCTCTATCTATGCTGCTTGTTGCGTCCTTAAAGAATTCTAATAAATTTGTCAGTCATGATTTCTCTTTCATGAAGCCATGCTGACTCTGCTTGACCATTTTATGTACTTTTAAATGCTCTGCTATTACAACCTTTAAACATAATAAACTCTAACATTTTCCCAACAACAGACATTAAGCTAACTGACCTATTTCTAGTCTCCTCCTCTTTTTAAATAAAGATGTTACATTAGTAGTTTTCTAATCCTCTATATTGAGACTTTTCCAGGATCTAAAGATTCTTGGAAGACTTCATTCAGTCATGGGATTTAGCTATCATTGGCAAGACCAGCATTCGCTCCCTAATTCCTCTTGTAAATGTGGTAGTGAATCACCACCTTGAACTGCTGCAATCCATGTGGTGAAGGTACTTCCATGTGGTATTAAAGAAGGAATTTCAGGATTTTGGTCCAACCATCGTAAAGGAATATATTTCAAAGTAAGGATTGTGTGTGACTTGTAGAACTTGTAGCTGGTAATGCATGTTTGCTTTGTCCTTTTGGGTGATAGAAATCACAGATTTGGAAGGTACTGACAGACAAGACATGGATTTTAATGATGGAAAAGGGCAAAAAAAAATCACAGAAACAGAAGTCAATAGCACAAGTCTGATAGGAGTTGAGTTGTTTCTTTGTTTCTTCCAAATCATTTTAATTTTTTTGCACAAGATTGTTTGCACACTAATGCTTTCTTTCATTCACTAATTGATTGAGAATTTATCTTCTCATTATTTTTGAGGGTGTTTTAACTCTCTTTTAACAGGGGATTTATAAATGTGAGTGGAAGATGGAAAGCTGTTACTGGAGACATTCTAGTACATCCACACAGAGGAGAGACACTTTTTGCAGGCTATGTATTTTTCTGCTGCGCTGGCCACACTCAAGCCTGAGGCCTCTTGTTCGGGAGCCAATCAAAACATTGTGAAACAATTGTTTCCATAGTTCAGAACCCATCAACTCTGGTGTCTGCTTTCACTGTCATTGTTTCAGGAAGAAGTGACATTGCATACAATGTGCTCCACTATGTAGAATAAAACTGCAGCCATTTCTTTGCACTTTGTCACTCAGTTCAAGGACAGTTAGGCCTGGGCAACAATGTTGTGCCTGGCCAGAGATGCCCACATCCCATGAAAAAGACTTAAAAGAAACAAAACATAATGATGGAGAGTCAAGTTTTATTCCTTAGTTTTTAGTAGCATTTTGATACAATAGAATAGTTTATAGGTTATTACAAAAATCAGTTAAGAATCAAGAAAATTGCAAAGGGTCTGGTGTTATGTATTGGCCAGACTGGGTCTGGGCAACAGATTTCTCTCCCGCGAGGACAGTAGTGAACCGGATGGTTTTTACAACAATGCAATAGTTTTGTGGTCACCATTATAGATAGCACCTGCTGTTCTGAATTAATTGAATTTAAATTTCCCAGTTGTCATGGAATCAGGTACAAAGACATCATTCCCCTTCAATTGTACTTGGGTTGCTAGTTACTCTATTTAAGTATAATAGCGCCAGGGCTAGTCTATAGGTTCATTGTTCAGTGTACTGTATCTCCCTTGTGTCTCATGTGCTGATTATTTGCCTCCTTTTTCTGACAAACAATGCAACCCCTGTGCTCTAATTTTTAATTCCTTCCCTTTCTTGCTAGCTATCTTGAGCTCTTAATTCTCAGCTGTCCCCTTATGTGCTGTAAACAAGTCTGAAGTGACTTTGTATTTTCTTCACCATCTTAAGCAGAGATATGGATAGCCCTTCAAACTTTTAACTTTCATTATTTCATGTGAGCTTTCAAGATGGAAATAAGTACAAAGCAAAAATGCGCTATTTTATCTATCATTAAGCTATTTTCACTTTGCATACAAAGAGTGCACTTTTCATAGGAGAATTGGCAAAATTAAACATTTTTCGTGCTTTTGATCATTCATCTGCAAGGATGATTGGGAGACAAAGCTCATAGTTTCATGCCCTCCAAATCCTGCTGTAACTTGGAGTTGAGAATCTGTTTTCCTAACGGCATTGGGTTAAATTTTCATCTCTTTCAGCATGTGATTTTTTAAAAATTACAATTGGAAGCACATACTGAAAATCTATAGTGCTAGATCACTGTATATATTTTATTTATTACACCCAGGATGAGAAGTGACAACAATCATCCATCATACTGCACACCATTCTTTTGATCTGTAAGGCAGATTTCAAATGCGGCTTAAAAGTTTCCTTTCATTTTCATTTTGTTTTTTAGTAGATGTGCCCATTATAGTGCTTTCAGCAACAGACATTTATACTATATGCAGTGATCTGGTTCAATGGCTGCTTGAAGATTGGGTAATGGTCCACTGGCCAGTGTCAATGTCAACAATGCGTCAAAGATTTTAATTAACATTGAGAAAGTAGACCAAGGATGCTGCTTGGCCTCCTGTGTTCATCCAGCTCTGCACCTTGTTGTCTCCTTAAAATGAACTTCAGCTTTATTTTAATGGGGTTGCAAAATTGTTTAATTGTAGTTATAAAAAAAACTCTGCCTTTAGCTTCTGACTGTATTTCATTATTGTAAAGATTAAAGTAGAATTATTAGTTTGGTTATTGATATTTTTTAAAAAAACTTTGTTCTATTTTAGATTCTGCTGATATTTAAGAAATTATTTTGAAACAGTGTAAAATTATTCACCTTTCTGTTTAAGTTAAAAGTTTTGTGTGTTTTTTATTCATACCTGAGGTTTGTTGAATTTGAATTGGTCCTGGTAGTTTCTTGCAGATATGGAGAACAATATACTATTTAGGGATGATATTGAATGCCAAAAACTTATCATGGAAGCAATGAAATATCACCTGCTACCAGAGCGACGAAACATGCTGCAGAGTCCACGGACTAAACCTAGGAAGTCTACAGTAGGTGTGCTGTTTGCAGTTGGTGGAATGGATGCAACAAAAGGTATTGATTATTAAATAATCTTAAGTTTATATAAGATTTATATTTTTACTTTGGTGATGACCTTTCCCATCCAATATCGTGATGCATTTGTTTTCTCCAAATCTAACCTCTTTATGAATTATGGAGAGAAATGCTGCTTATTACAGCACCAGATGCTACCAATCATCTTATTCCTCAAAAATTCACTGTACCGAAGTATCAAGCCATAAATATCACTTTAGTGCAAACCAAGCCCACTCAGTGCGTGAATCACAAAAAAAAACTAGCGCTCAGGTTCAGCAGGTATCAGGGAAGGCAAATGGAATGTTGGCCTTTATTTCAAAGTGACTCAAGTACAAAAGGAGAGTGGTCTTGCCAGAACTATAAAAGGTACTAGTCAGACCATGGCTGGAATACTGTGAACAGGTTTGGCCTCTGATTGAGGAAAGATGTACTGGCATTCGAGGTAGTCCTCAGAAGGTTCACAAGAATGATTCCAGGTTTAGAAGGATTTTCGTATGAGGAGACGTTGAGAATGTTGGGCTTATATTAATTGGAGATTAGAAGAATGAGAGATGACCTTATTGAAACATATTTGGCTCTTAAGGGGCTTAATGGGGTAGATGCGGAGAGGTTTTTTCCCCTTCTGGGAGAGTCTTAGACCAGAGAGCACAACCCTCAGAGTAAGGGATCACCTATTTAATACTGAGAAGAGGACAAATTTGTGTCTGTCAAACGATAGTGAATCTGTGGAATTCTTTACTGCGAAGGTATGTCAAGGCTAGGTCGTTAAGTATATTCAAGACTGAAAAGGACAGGTTTTTAAACAAGGGAAATCAAGGGTTATAGTGAAAAGACGTGAAAGTGGAGTTGAGGATTATCAGATCAGCCATGATCTCATTGGAATGGTGGAGCAAACACAATGCTCCAGATGACCACCTTCTGCTCCTGTATCTTATGGTACTTTGGCCTATCAAACATGGGAATGGAGCTGTAGAGTATTCAAACAGGAGCAGTCTCAATTAGCAACTGTAAAACCTTGAATATTGGCACAAGATATATATTTGATTTGGGCTACGTAAAGGATTTTTTAACGTACAGTTAAAGTGTGCTATATTTGACCAGGAACTGCTCAATGCCTGCAGTGGATGCCAGAAATGGGAAGCTAGTCCTAGTCTTCAATGTCCCACTTTTAATGAATAACTTCGCTGTAGGAAAAAACAGCAGTGGTGTTTAGCAACAAAGCATATGCACTATTTTATCAGTCTGCAACTGTGTCCTAATAGTGGGTAGCAATTTCCACAGCTATTGAGCTAACGTTTCAAAATGAACAAGAAGTCATTGAAAGTAGCCAATTTATAGCATTTTTGTTTGATTTATGTCTATTGCTACCAAAAAATAATCAGCATATCAAATAAAATAATGAAACAAAATAATGGAACTTGTTGTAAAAGGATTGGAGGTAATAAACTGTGTATACTTCTAGTTAAATAATACATTTATCCACTTCTGTTTCTTAAAACATTGAGAAATTAAATGTCTCTTCTATGTGCAGAAAGATGCCACAAGATTTAAAGTAAGGTGTAGGAGGCTTAGAGGGATGTGAGGAAAATATTTTCACCCAGACAGTGATGGGAATCTGTAACACATTGCCTCTAAGGGGGTAGTGGCGGAAACGCTCATTTAAGAAGTATTTAGATTTATGCTTGTGATGTCAAGACATACAAAGCTATAGCCAAGTGCTGGAAATGGGATTAAAATAGCTAGGTGGTTGTGTTTACCGACATTGACTCGATGGGCTGAAGGGCATTTTGCTGTGCTGTAGACCTCTGTGACTGATTACTAGCATCACAGATCTAAGTTCTGAAAAAGGACCTGCAAAAATGTTATCTTTTCAGTTTTGAAAAGAGGTAAAGTACAGCTAGAACACTGAAATAACCACAAAGAATGCTGAAGAAACTCAGCAAGTCGGCAGCACTTGTGGATAGAGAAAGAGTTGATATTTTGAATGCAGTTTGACTCTTCAGAGTTGACCAGTTGTGGTGAAGAATCCTACTGTACTCAACATTAATTCTGTTTCTCTCTCTGTTTTCAATAATTTTGTGTATTAATTTTGATGTGTTCAAATTGTTGCTGTTTTACAGGTGCCACAAGCATTGAAAAATATGACCTACGTTCCAATACATGGACACATGTAGCAAATATGAATGGAAGACGACTACAATTTGGTGTGGCGGTGCTAGATGACAAACTTTATGTTGTGGGTGGTAGAGATGGATTGAAGACATTAAATACAGTAGAGTGCTACAATCCAAAGAGTAAAACCTGGAATGTAATGCCTCCTATGTCTACTCATAGACATGGCCTTGGTAAGTCACACTAGTCATAGAACACTGGAAAGGATTTGCAAGCAACCAGGAGTTTTGCAACCAATTTAGACAACTATCTTTTATTCCAACTCCTTTATCCCCTCTGGTCAAGGAACCTATTTTAGTAGGAGGCAAAGAATGTCAACAGGCATCAACAGGCAAGGTAGGCATATAGTAAGAGAAAATCATATAAGTGAAACTGTCAAACAGCTATGTGTCAACATGAGAGTTTAGATGTAACAATACTGAAAACATCAAATGCTGGACATCACAGCAGGTCAGACAGCATCCATGGAGAGAGAGCAAGGTATCGTTTCGAGTCTAGATGGTTCTTCATCAGAACTGAAGTGTGGAAGGTACAGCATTTATGCTATAGTTGGAGGGGAGGAGCTTGTGGAATGGGGAGCGTAGGGTGCTGGTGGGGAAGAGATGCTGATATTTCAGATTAAGTGATCCGAATGTGAGAATGGCAGAACAATGGTGTGTCTCCTGCCAGACTTGAAAGGATAGTAACTTGGATTGGGGAAGGGAGGACATGACAAAGCTAAAAGAAAGGGAAGAAATGGTTCACAGTGTAAAGATGTTGAACTCAATATTAAGTCCAGAAGGCTGTAAAGTGCTTAGTCTAAAGATGAGATGTTGTTCCTCCAGTTTGCACTGTGATTCGCTGGAGCACTGCAGCATGCTGAGGACAAACCAGTGGACATGCCACATTGGGTGCAGTGAATACAATACACCACATTGGAGGAGGTACAGGTGAAATGCTGCTTCATCTGGAAAGACTGTTTAGGCTCTTGGATGCCGAGCAGGGAGGAGGTGAATGGGCAGGTGTTACACCTTCTGCGGTAACATGGGAAGGTGCTGGGAAAAGGGCGTGGTGTTAGTGGTAGTGGAATGGACTAGGGTGTCCCAAAGGCAACAATCCCTGTGAAATGCAGACAGGGAGTGAGGGGAAGATGTGTTTGGTGGTGACATTCTGCTGGGGTTGTCTGAAATGACAGAGAATGATCCTTTGAATGCAGAGGCTGGTGGGATAAAAACTGAGGACAATGGGAACCCAATCATGCTGTTTTGAGTGTTGGGAAGGAGCAAGGGCAAAACTACAGCTGATGGATCGGATGCGATTGAAGGCCCTGTCAACCACAGTGGTTGGGAAACCACAGTCATGGCGGAAGCAAGCCACATCAGCAATGCTGTTTTGGAAGGTGGCATCATCTGAACAGATGCAACATAGGCAAAGGAACTGGGAGAATGGAATGGAATCCTTGCAGAATGTGGGATGTGACGAGCTGTAGTGAAGGTAGCTATGGGAGTGGGTGGCAGTGGACAGTTTATTCCCCAAAATGGAGAGAGAGAGGTCAACAGCTCTTCTCCACCGGCACCCTACACCCACCACCCCAACTCCCCTGTTCCCCCCCCGCCAAACTGTAGCATAAATGCTGTCCCCTCACACTTCACTTCAGCTCTGATGAAGAGTCATCTAGACTCGAAACATTAGCTTGCACTCTCTCCATGGATGCTCTCTGACCTGCTGATTGCCAGCATTTGTTGTTTTCAGTGCAGATTCCAGCATCTGTAGTAATTTGTTCTCAGATATAACAATATTTTGCATTGAATGGTGGCTAATTTCAAAAATTGAAATAATTAGACTATTTTGTGTTCCTAAGCAGAATGTACAAAGTAGGAAGTATTAAACAGTCACAATTACTGTTCTCGAATTATTGCTAATGTTAGATTTATTTACTCGTCATGGCTTAACTAACAAGCATTAACTGCTTGAACCTCTGGTGATGTATGTGTGTGTCTTACGACTTCAGACACCTGCTCAGCCTGCAGTCAGCCACTTGTCGTTGAAAGTAGGTGTACTCTGAATGTTGATGACATTATAAAATGAACAAAAAAATGTAAGTCCCAGCTGCACATTTGCATGTAGCTCATAAAATTTGTTTTAAATAAACCCCTGTGCAACAGTTGTTGGTGTTTTACCTACTGAATGTTCAATGCAGATTGCAAAACAATTTGAAAATCATTATTGTATATGCTATGCAAAGGAGATTTTCAGCAAGGTTCCTTGACAATGTTCCAAAATGAAGATGCACAGTAGAAAATCCCATGTTCAGACTTTTTTAAAAAAAAGTAGTCTTTATATATTTATGTTCAAATCTAGTTTCAGTGCAAAAAGTATAAATTTAGTAGAGTAGCTATTGATCCAAATTTTTAACAATTTAAGCTGAAGTATAATATGTTATCTTTTAACAATACTGTGCAGAAGAGTGTAATATTGGTAGTGAGAAGTAGATGTTTACATTTACACGAGAACATGAGTTTCAGTGTCTTTTGTGTTGAAAATGGACTCTTTAAGGAAAATCTTGATTTTTGAAAAAAAAGCACTGCCTGAACAATACTAAAAGCTTCCATACACTGTTAAAATTTGAGCCTTTAAATTGGGTTTTGTATCTAAGGTTACAACAGAGGATAACATTGTAGCATATAACATAACAGAGGTGAAAAGATTGTTCCTGCTAAATAGTTGAATGTAACTAAGACACTCCTTACAATCTACTTCTTTGACCAGATTTTGGCCAGCTGTCCTGATATCCTTTTGTTTACCTGTCATTTGTTAAGGGGACAAATCGACAGTCACTACACAAGATCAGAGCACATGGTGTAGGGGATAAAGGAAAAATAAAGGATTATTTAGGTAACCGGAAGCAGAGAGGGGAATGATTGAGCTGTTTTCAGGTTGGCAACAAGGATCAAAATGTTTTGCTTTGAGGGCGCCTCGAGATTTTTTCTGGGGCAACTTGTCATTCTTGCTAGCACCTTTATTAAATGATGCCCTCACTTAGTAACATTACTTTGTGTATTTCTGTTTACTAATGGCATAATTAGATTCACACAGAGCAGAAGTAGAATCCATCAGTATCCTTAATGATCATCACTATTCCATTTAATGTTAAACCATAACACAAGGAAAAATTAATTTCCTAAATACCACAGTATTTAAAGATAACCAGAAAAAGTCAATAACAAATACAAATTTCAAAAGAATAACTGACACACACTTCTGTACACACAAAAGCTGTGACCCTAAACCAGCTTTCCTTGGACTGGTGAGGTCACAGCTACACAGTTGCATGCTTGTCTCTAATGTAGTCATTGTACTTAAAGTATTTCAATGTATGTAAGATACTTTGAGAAATAAAAACGCATAAATGTACATCTTAATGAATTATAACTGTTCACTATTAAGTTATGCAATTTATGATGTCCATTACAATATCTCTCCATATAATAGCTCCTGAACTACTACAGTCCTAATTTAGGGACTCCATATTTGTTTGCAACAAATTCATTACATCAGAGACCGTAAGATTTCATGGTTCCCAAAAGTCTGAGCGTTGGCCCTTTGCAGCTCCTCTCCCCATCTCTTTTTGCAGTCCTATCACCCTTTGCAACCTCTTTAATCTCTTTAGAAATTCCTCAACCACTATTTGTAGCCCTTACCCCCATCTGTGCACCTGTCTCCACTTTACAGTTCTACCATCGTTTTAAGCCCCTCTCTGACCCCCTTCCCCGAGTTTACAGACCTTCTCCCTACTTTCCAGCTATTCCCCCTTTGCAAACTCTGCACCCTGCACAGCTCCTGTCGCCACCTAATTTTAAGTAGTAGACTCTCCACTTTGCATTGCATGCACAGACACACACATGCACATATTCCGTCCCTTGGTGACCCAGAGGGGTCTGGGAGTCATACAAACTGAACCACAAGAAGTTAACATGCATGCATATGTTAGAAAGTTGTAATAACTTGGGAAGCCCAACTGGAAAAGAGCATCATTTATTGTTGAACACCAAAATACAGCCACTACTCCTGGCATACTTGGGCTGTGCCAACCCAGGACTGAGACTTCTGCAGACCCATCCCTGAATCTACTTTATTATTTTGCACATATTTTCTAATCAACCTGTTCAGAGATATTATTACACCTTTCTGGAGCAGGTGGGCTTGAACCCAGGCCTCCTGGTCCAGATGCAGGGACACTGCCACTACACCACAAGTGCCTACACATGGATCTGCTTTTATCTCTGTATCTGGAAGTGCTATCATACGCAACTGAACATTTTTTCCATCACCAAATCACTGTCACTCTTTTGTTTTTAACTATTAACTGCCCGCTCGATCATCAAACAAGATCATGACTGATTTGATTATGGTCTTAACATCACTTTCCTGTCCACCGTGCCCCATCATCCTCGTCAATTAAAAAACTATCCGGCTCCACCCTGAATAAATTTAATGATCCATCTCCGCTATGGGAAAGATTCCTCATGCTAACCACTTGCTGAAAGGAAAAAAAAACCCTGTTCTTTAGCTGTTCCCCCTAATTTTAGTGTCTCACACAAGAAAAACCATATTCCTGGTATCCGCTAAATCAGCAAATCAGCAACGTAATCAATTGGATATCTACATACAAAGCCCGTTAAAGGCAATACAAACCATCAAAGGTGGAGGGAGGGGAATGAATCACAATAGAGTTGGATGGGAAGATAAAGTACTCTGTCCCCTGTGGTACCCACCTCTCTCTAAAGGCATCTAGAGCATTGATGAACACTGTGTGCTCCCTCTCTAATGACATCCAGGCACGAACATAGCCCTTGAAGAGAGGCATGCAGTCAACAGAAATGGCCCCCTCTAAAGTCCGCTGCCTGGACCTGTTAATAGCCAACGTGGCCACTGGGTCTGCTTTCTTTATCAACCTGTCTAAAGAAGTCATTATACTCTTCTGGGGCAGGTGGATCTCACATCCAGACCTCCCAGCTCAGAGGTAGAGACACTACCACTGCACCAAAAGAGGCCCTTCAAATGCAGAACAGTATGGATTAGCAATCCATCACCTTAACCTCTTCATCACCGTGTCACTGTGGGTCTACTTTATTATTTTGTATATATGGAAGTGCTGTCACACACAACTGAATGTTTTCTTTTCCTACCACAAAATCATCCATAACTCTTCTTTTTGTTTTTAACTACTAACTGCGGCCAGTAAATCATCTGTGTACCCAATTAGATATTTACATATACAGCCCGTTACAGAGATATTACAGGCAATGCAAAACATCAAAAGTGAGGGAAGGGTTGGGAAAGCAGGAATGGGCTAAATCGAATTGGAGGTGGGGTGAAATTAGGCTGTGTTTTATGAAGGGTTCAGGTGATGAGTTCTGGTTGAGCAGGCCATTGCCTGTTACCAAGGAAACTCCTACTCAACAAGCTCCACAAGTAGATTAATTAATGATTCCCCATGGGCCTTGAAGGAGTTCTCACAGAAGCCAAATGGAATTTAGCACTTATTGCAATGGAAATGGATATAGAATTCAGGAAGTTTTACTCCACTTCTAATTAGGGGTTGTTGAAATCAAATCTGGACAGTTGTGTACAATTTTGGAAAACAAATATAATTCTAGTAGAAACTGTTCAGGGCAGGTTCACTCCACTCATTCCTGGGTTGTAGGGTTTATTTAATGAAGAAAGTTGAACAGGTTGCACCCATACCCTCTGGATTTTGGAAGACTGAGAGGTGATCTTATAGAAACCTACAAGATTCTAAGTGGAGTGAATAAAGCGGATACCAGGAATATGTTTTTTCTTGTGTGAGTGACTAAAATTAGGGGAAACAGCTAAAGACCAGGGGTCTTTTTTTCCTTTCAGCAAGTGGTTAGCATGAGGAATCTTTCCCATAGCGGAGATGGATCATTAAATTTATTCAGGGTGGAGTTGGATAGTTTTTTAATTGACAAGCATAATGGGGCATGGTGGACAGGAAAGTGATGTTAAGACCATAATCAAATCAGTCATGATCTTGTTCGATGATTGAGCAGGCACAAAGGGCTAAATGGCCTACTCCTTCACCTAAATCCTGTGTTCACTCTTTGGTCCCAGTAGAGCTAGTGGGAACAATGGCCACAGCTGGGAATGCAGCAGTCCCAGGAGGAAATGTATTGTGATGGGTCCTGGGCTTTAAGGTAAGTTCAGGTTCTCTCTGGGGCTGGGCTGGAAGGCCAGGGCAGACAGGAACAGGGGTAATAGGAAACATCAAGGGAGGTGAGATGGTGGGGTGGGGGCCTTGATTAGGAAGAGAGCACATAAAGGAGAGTGTACTGTCCTCCAAAATTCAGCCTGTGGTTTTATTCAGGATTTTAATCATCATGAAAGGAAGTTAATTTTTTTTTGACATTCGTCCTCACTGGATGTAGAAGGAAGGGAAGCCCTTTGAGCAAAGGAACTTTTAAATTGCCAAAATTTGCTTTCTTTTGCAATAATTGAACTTTCTTTTTGTAGCTTTCAGTTCTACAGTCTGATGAAAATATGTTGCATTTTTGTAGGTGTGGAGGTACTGGAGGGTCCTATGTATGCTGTAGGTGGACATGATGGTTGGAGCTATCTAAATACAGTTGAACGATGGGACCCTCAAGCTCGACAGTGGAACTTTGTCGCCAGTATGTCAGTGCCACGAAGTACAGTTGGTGTAGCAGTACTTAATGGAAAGTAAGAAGAAATTATTGTTGTAATTTATTCTTCATTACTATATAAGTGTAGGGAATTGTGAAAATCTCAGTAAGATGAATGATCGTTTCTCAGGGTTAGTCATTTACACAGTTTTGTGAAATACCAATTCACAATCTGCTCCATTTAAGATAAGTGTTCATTACTACTCTTGAACAATTGCTCACTCAAATTGTGTAATTCATTTTGTTTGTTCACTGGATTTACTTTTGTGGTTTGCCTCTTGAGATTTATTTTGCTATTTAACTTGCTTTGCAAAAGATATTTGCAGTTATAACCTCGATTTGAAAAATAACCTTCATTTTCAGAGGTAATGGTTCTACCTTCACATTTTCTCAGTCAACCTGGAAATTCGGCACAAGCTATTTATAGCACATAAGTGTGTACTCCTAAAGGTGGAAAGTTCTTGGGAATTTGATTCACTAGACTCATTTGCTAATTTTAGATAAGCTGCAGGCACTAGACCATATTTGCAAACTTTGCAGCAATGAGTATACAAACCATCACAGGAGTCTACTGTGGATCAGCAGAGCACAGCTGGGTCACTAGGAGCATAGATTTAAGGTAAGAGATAGAAGTCTAAGATGAGATTTGAGAAGAAATGTTTTCACCCAGAGAATAGTGGAGGCCTAGAACTCGTTGCCTGAAAGAGAGCTTCAGTCAGAACCTCTCATAATATTTAAGCAATATTTAGATATTCACTTGCATTGCCTCAAAAACTGGAAAAATGGAATTAGTGTAGTCACATCTTTGCTGACTATCGAGAGCACTATGGGCCAAATGGCTGCCTGCTGTGTTGTAAATTTCTGAGTCTATGTGCTTCACTTTCAGCAGCAAGAATACTTGTATTGACATTGATTATATGCTGTTGGCAATCACCATTGCCTTCAACTGTAAGGTATTCAGTTCATTCCCAACTACGGCATAGTCAGCTAGTCTTCAGATTCTGACTTGTGCTTCTACGTTGAATTTGCTGACTTTTGTTTTGTTTGGTAGCAACCTTTACCTGTTTGTTGGGCTGAAAATCTCAGAATTTTTTTTGGGCCTTAAGAAAAGTACTAACCTTTCTGATGCATGAGATTCAACGTGTCCAGCATTATTGCCTTTCCAAATGAATAGTATGATACTGGTGCCCAAAGTCAGCACAGAATTTTTTTTCACTGACATTTACAGTATCCTTAGCCTGAAAACCAAGCTTGACATCAATAAGTAAACAAGATTTTGTTTGAATACTATTGTGTGAAATCAGTTGAAGATGTAGATATGATGGGACTTTTAGTTGTACATTATATCAACTTGTTTGCTGTCCTTAGTTATAGCTAATTATGAGGTAAAAGAATGGAGTTCCAAGACTATTTGAGGCCTTGGTCTGGGCAACCCCTGGTTCTTGCACCAAATAGAGGGTTGGATGCTGTGTCACTTTGTGTTTTTATGTGCAATTTGCTACCTTTTCATTGGCAACTAATTATTTCTGCCTGGAAAAGTTTTGTTGAAACATAACTTTTCAAAGTAATTTTTGACCATCTACAGTGCAGCATTTTTTATCTCAATATTTTGTAGTGACTGAATACTTTTAATTTCAATCTATAGTCTGCATGCTCATAATATCCTGCAGTACCTTCTTTTCCTTTTCTCTGCATAAGTAAGGGTGCTTTGATCATTTTTCTGCCATATTCCTTACATTGACACAGTGACTATACTTAATAAGCATTAGCATGACTGTAAAAATATAATTGCAAAGACTATTCTATAAATGCAGGCTTTTATTTTTTTCCTATTCCAGACTTTCAGCATCCAACAAAGCCAGCTCAACACAGGTACAGGAGTAGGCCATTCATCGCTTCGAGCCTGTTTCAACATTTAATAAGATCATGGCTGATATGCGACCTAACTTCATAAGCCTGCTTTTATCCCATAGCCCTTAACACGTTTGCTTAACAAAAATTTAACTATCTCAGAATTAACATTAACAACTGATCTAGCATCAACTGCCATTTGTGAAAGAGAGTTCTAAACCTTTACCACCCTTTGTGTGTAGAAGTGCTCCCTTATGTCTCTCCTGAATGGTCTAGCAATAATTCTCAGACTAGGCTCCTTAATTCTAGAATCTCCAACCAGTAGAAATTAAATATCTTTATCTACCCTGTCTTTTCCCATTAATATCTTGAAGACTTCGATCAGATCACCCCTTAACCTTCTAAATTCTAGAGAAAACAGGCCTGATTTTATAATCCCTCCTCATAACTTAACACCTGAGGTCCGGGTATCTTTTTGTAAACTTACTTTGAACTCCCTTCAAGGCTGGATATATCCCTGCCATATTGTGCCCAAATTTGCTCATGCTGTTCCAAGTGGGGTTTAACCAGGGTTTTGTATAGCTGCACCATAACTCTGCATCTTCGTACTCCAGTCCTCTAGTTAAAAAGACCAACGTTTCATTAGCTTTCTTGATTATTTTCTGCATATGTTCATGACATTTTAAAGTGTTACGAAGTTGGGAAGAGTACTTGTGGAATGGAAGGCAGGACGTTAGAATTTGGTGTTTGTAAAATGTTGATGTTTATTAAATTATAGGGGGAAAGCAGAAAGATGATGTGCTTTTTCTAGACTTGGACGAAAATAAAGTGTCTGTGGGCAGCTTGTGGGTACCTAAATTGTGTCATTTGTATCAAAAGGCTGGATGGTTTGCAGGCTATGCTGCAGTTTTGTTTTGTTATCAAGACAACAAATTTGAATTTAGCCAATTAATTTAAGCCAGGCCCTTAGTTACTGTTTATATAAGCGGGACTTGTATTTATTGGAACAGCATACTATTAGAATCTTGTTTTATTCGGGAATAATTAGTAGTTAGAAGGGAATTGTTTGCTTTGTTAATAGTTCATTTAATTTGTTCACTGTTAGAGTTAGATAAATAAATTGTTACTTGACTCACCGAGCTGGTTCGTTGTTGCTCTGCAAACGTTTCATTACCCTGCTGGGTAACATCATCAGTGCAGCCTTCGATAATCCGATGCATCCACAACCCGAGCTACAGATCTACTCCAAAACCTTAAAAATTGTTACTTGTTGATTATAGAGTGAGTGTCAGTAGTTTATTTCATTTAAACACTCCTTTATAACAGATTAGGGGTGAGAGGCAGGTTATATCACTTTTCACAATTCTTTTAATAGATTATAGGGTGAGGTAAGCCTCTCTGGGTGTTTCAGTTTTAGTTATCAGAGGGGAGATCATCCTCTGCTTTTATAACAAAAGACCAATGCAACTGAACCCCATGTCCCTTTGGGAATCCACTGCATTTAACTTCAGACCATCCGGAAAATACTCTGATCTAACCATTTTCGGTCCAAAATGCTTACATAGAAATTGCTTATATAGAAATCCATCTGCCACAGTTTTGCCCGTCCACTCAGTCTAACAATATCCCTTGGTAATTTTATGCTATCATCTACACTGTCACAAATGTCACCTAACTTTGTGTCATCAGCAAATTTGGTTATATGACTTTCTATGCCATTATTCAAGTTGTTAAAAATTAATGTGAATAATTGAGGTCCTCGTGGGACACCACTAGTCAAAACATATGAACATTATGCTATCACGTAGATTGGCCTCACAGCGCTAATTATATTTTAATTTGATTCACTACATTGATCCTCTAGTGCAGGTGTAACAATGGGAATTTCAAACATTTCAATATGATTATATGACATTTTCAGCATTTTAATTTATCTAAAACATCTAAGTAAATTGTTGAATCAGTATGCACAGGTAATGCTGTAAGAAAATGTAATACATGTAATAACACGTTTCTGAGTTTATGATTGCATTTTTTAATATAACAAACAATAAAATATAAAGGTTAATTTTACAAAGTTGCATTCTGGATGCTTTCCATGGGCAGAAAATCATCAAGACCACGCACCCCAGATTTCAGTACGTACTCCCGATGGAAAGGCTCCACATTCAGAAGGTGATTTTGTAAAGTTAACCCATAGCCATTAAGAAAAAAGATACGATGATTTCATTTCTGGGGACGTTACATCTCATTTTGTTTTTCACTCAGACTGTATGCTGTTGGAGGTCGCGATGGAAGTTCTTGCCTTAAGTCTGTGGAATGCTTTGATCCCCACACCAATAAATGGACCCCCTGTGCATTGATGTCTAAAAGACGGGGAGGTGTGGGAGTTGCCACCTGGAATGGTTTCTTGTATGCCATTGGAGGACATGATGCACCAGCGTCTAACCTCACATCAAGGCTATCTGATTGTGTAGAGAGGTAAATGAAGTATTGTTCAACCATGGCCGACATGAAATGTGTGTTTTGATCACATATTCAAAACCATATGCAGAAAAGCCTAAACCCTTGTAAGTTTAAATAGTTTTATATTTTAAAAAAAAATCAATGTATGGCAAGCAACCAATAGTTATATGAGTAATCTCAGGCTCTCCAGTAAGGTTGTCCTGTTTTTAAAGTCAGGGTTGTCTTGTATGATAGTGGAAGGGAAGCCTGCTGAAAGAATAAATGTGCTTTTAAGTTAACAATGAAATGACGACATTTGTTGACTAATTGTGACGGTATATACCAATCAAACCCTCCGTCATGGATAAGTGCAATGTAACAAGACCTAAAGAATAAACTCTGGTGTGGTTTAAAAAAAAAATGAAAATATGATTAGGATAAAATCAAATTAATTATTTGTAAAAGAAAAAGCCATTAAGTAGAATTGGTAATTAATTAGGCTCAATTTTGCAAGAAAAAATTACCATTTATTGCCCATCTCTAATTGCCCAGAAGGCAGTTTCAAGTCAACCGCGTGGCTGTGGATCTGGAGTCACATGTAGACTAGACCAGGTAAGGATGGCAATTTCCTTCCCTTAAAGGACTTAGTGGACCAGATGGGTTTTTCTAACAATCGGCAATGAATTCATGGTCATCATTGGCTCTTAATCCCAGATTTTTATTGAATTCAAATGCCACCTTCTGCCCTGCAGGATTTGAACCCAGGTCCCCAGAAATTACCTGGGTCTCTGGATTAAACAGTTCAGCGACAATATCACTAGGTCATCAGCTCCCCTCATTGGTCACTGGATAATCACCAGTGGCTGAAAAAGATGGAAATTTGAAATTGATTGTAGAAATTTGAATTCTTCCACTAAATACTTGGTTGTTTTACCACAGTGAGTCAGGCCGACTGCCATGAGTTAAATGTAGTGCGTAGTTTACCCATGATGATTATAATGCTGTATTTGTTTTAACCTATCTTGGGCATGTTATTGTGCCATAAAGATTTTTTTCTTGACTCTTAAAAATAGGCTTCTATGAAACCATCCATGTTTATACACACTTAAATAATGAGTCTGTGCCACCAGAATTGTTTTTTTTTTAAATTAATTGATCCCAAATATTGTTCCTGGAACCACATTATTCTCTCGATCGTATAAATGCTATCTCTGGTTAAGCTATCAGGATTTCAGCTCTTGGGTTTATGTGCTTTGCATTTATCTGCATACTTAGTGAGGATGTATAACTGCCTTACATTACATTACATTAAATATATTAAAAGGAATAAACGAATTGAAACGTTCCAAGTTTTAACTACCAACTAAGTACAAGGATCTGACTGGAAAAACAAACTTCAGATTTGTTTTTAACCTTGTGTGTATATAAGACCAAACTCTGTTCATCTACAAACACAAATAGTAAACAAAGTAAACACAAATAATTGGCACGTCAAATTACATATACTTGTTAAATGTTCAATTATATACCATAGCTATTATTTTAGTTATGTTACTATATTGAAATTTTTTTCACAAATATAAGCTTTAAATGAATGTAATCACTAAATTTACATATGTAGTAATTTACATACATGTGTTTGAGAGGAACGTGAGGATTTTTAAATTGTGATTTATAATCTGATCTAGGAGAAAACATCTGTTGTTTAATTATTTGCAAGTTTCAAACGTGCTACCATGGACTGATTCCTTTACTCAACATTGTGTTACAATGGAGATATGAATAGAAATTAATCTACATGTATGAACGTAGGGAGTTAACAGCAGGTGTATAACAACAGCCCGTGGTGGAGATGGTTTTGCAGGGATAGCACAGTTCAAGCCTAAAAGCACTTTTCATATTTAATAGAGGTTGATCATTATTTTTGTATCAGAAATTATTTCTCAGATTTACGATTTTGTACACTTTACTCCTGGTGTTGTGTGCTTAAAAGGAATGTGGATTAGATAACCAGATGCAAAACTTAGCATGCCTAATTTGTAGCATTTTAAGTTTTGTAACCACTAAAAAGAATGACTGACTAGGCAATCCAGAGTGCTCTGAATAGAAATGATGGCCTCTAACCTTTCCTGTGGAAATGAGGTTCTATGCTCCAAGCAGTCCTGGAAAATTAACCTTGTAATCTCAAAGTCAAAGTAATGCATGGAAAAGGGGCAATTCCCCTGTTATGTCTCTGCCAATCAAAAAACAAGCCATGCAATACTATCCTGCTTTTCAGCTTTTGGATAATAGCTCTCTGCAGGGTACAGCACGTAGGGTGCATAATCCATATATCTTTTAAAAGAGTCAAGAGTTTCTGCCCCGACTAATCTTTCAGCAAGTATGTACCAGACCCCTATCATCCTCTGGATGAGAAATAATTGCCCCATCTCCCCTCCAATCTTTCTGTCAGTTACTTTAAATCTATATCTCCTAGTCAATGATCAGTTAAGGTAAATAAGTCCTTCCCATCCACTGTATTCAGGCCCCCCTCAACTTTGTACATCTCATTATCCTAAAACTGTTAAACATTTGGACCTGATCAAAAAAAAATGGCTATGTTTGTTTGCAGATATGATCCGAAAACTGACACTTGGACAGCAGTTGCACCAATGAGTATCAGCAAAGATGCAGTAGGTGTTTGCTTACTTGGTGATAGGCTGTATGCAGTTGGAGGTTATGATGGACAGTCATATCTGAACTCTGTGGAAGCCTACGATCCACAAACTAACGAGTGGATGCAGGTAAGAGTAACAATGTAGCAACTTACACTGTTTTTGAAAAGAAAAGTTGAAACTTTTTGTTCTCATGACGTAATGCTAAATTTCTATTTATAAAAGATGTAAAACTCTGAACAAAGTGTTGTAATTATATTTATTAAAACTAGGTGTTCATTATTATGTTGTAGATAAATACAAATATAGCCTGTAAAAACAATTTATTCCAAATCCTGCACTTGCCATGGAATGCATCTAGAAAAATTTTTACAATGAGTTCTCTCAATATAAAATCATCCCAGTTCAGAATGTCGATACTTGTATCACCTACCCACTCCTGGGCTATCTGATGGTTGCTGGAGAGAAAGGCAAAACTTAAGTACAGTTGTCATGGTCCATGTTGGCACAAATAGATCATAGAATCCCTACAGTGTGGAAACAGGCCCTTCGGCCCAACAAGTCCACACCGACCCTCGGAGCATCCCACCCAGGCCCATCCCCCTATAACCCACCTAATCTACACAGCCCTGAACACTACGGGCAATTTAGCATGGCCAATCCACCTAGCCTGCACAAGTTTGGACTGTGGGAGGAAACTGGAGCACCCGGAGGAAACCCACACAGACACGGGGAGAACATGCAAACTCCACACAGACAGTCGCCCATTGGTTGAATCAAACCTGGGCTTCTGGCGCTGTGAGGCAGCAGTGCTAACCACAAATGGTACAGAAAAAAACAGGGAGGTGGTCTAACTGGACGTATGTCAGGTATTAGGCTCTAAGTTTAAAAAGCAGACCTTGAAGGTAATATATCGATGATTGTCCAAGCCGTCTGCAAATTGCCAGGGGTGTTGACAGATGGCCAAAGGCGGTTTTATTAAAAAAAAGGTTCCTTTTCACCGGACACTGATACCAGAATTGGACAGGAATGAGCTGTATGAAATGGATTGGCTACATCTGAAGCAGATGGGACTCGTGACCTAGCAAAAGGATGAATATTGAGGTAGCAAAAGCTTTAAACTACTAAAATATGGAAAGGGACCTACAAGAAACCTAAGCAGCCTAAAGATAGATAGAACAGGGCAGGATTGCATAGGAAAGAGTAGAGTACAGAATCACATTGATGGCAAGGGAATGAATAGAGTTACAGTGAGAAAAAAGTTGTGTTAAAATATGTTAAAATGTCTGTATGGCACTGTATAATGTCTGTAATAAAACAAGGAAGACGGAGCTAATTGTGTGTTGGGAGGGACTAATGAGACATGGTTATAGGAAAATCCAGAGAGAGATTAAACATCCCAAGGTATAATATACAACAGGGAAAAGGATAAATGTTGTACATGTTACGAATAATATAAAGGCAACAGAAAAAAGGTGTAGCCTATCAGCAAGACGAGTAGAATCTGTGAGGACAGAGATAAAATATTGAACTGATGAACTGATTTAGTCTGCAGACCACAAAATACTGGAAGAAACATGCAAATAAACCAACTGGGCAGTCATGGCTTATCCAGTGGGTTGACTGACAAATTTGTAAACAGTTTGAAGAAAAGCTTTTAGTTACATCAGAATTAACCATTTACCTATTGCTGATTTGTAAATGTTCAATTGAAATCAGCTGTTTAAATATGTTTTGCTGTTTGTAATACAATACAGCACAGGAACCAGCCATTCGGCCCACCAAGCCTGCAGCTATTCCTAGTCCTTATTTAAACCCACTACTTATTGCCCACATGCGGTTTTTATCCATCTGTTTGCCTCCTGTTCATGTGTCCATCAAGATACACCCTAAACGTTGCTAACATGCCTGCTTCCACCACCTCCACTGACCGTGTGTTCCAGGCACCCACCACCCGCCGTGTGAAAAAATTTTTCTTGCACTTCTCCCCTAAACTACCCCCCCCCCCCCCCCCCCCACTCACCTTGAACCTGTGCCCTCTTGTGGTTGACTTTTCTACCCTGGGCAAAAGCCACCCTATATCAATGCCTCTCATAATTTTGTAGACCTCTGTCAGGTCGCCCCTCAGCCTCCATCTTTACAGTGTAAACAATCCAAGTTTATCCAACCTCTCATAATTAAAACCCTCCAGACCAGGTAACGTCCTGGAATACCTCATCTGCACCCTCTCCAAAGTATCCATATCTTCTGGTAATGTGGTGACCAGAACTGCATGCAATATTCCAAATGTGGCCTAACTAAAGTGATTAGCAATGTTTTCAGAACTGGCACAACTTCATCCTTATGCTTGTCTTTCTGTGAAAGAATGATACTAAACCACCCAAATCATCAAAGTGATTAACCTCTGTCTGAAGAATTGGCTATTGATTCCCTCTGGATATATCTTAATTTCCATGCTAGACTAACTGTCTTAAATATTAATCTACATGATTTGATCTTGCTGTAATAGTCATGCAATCTTAAATTCTGTAAGCTTCTTTGGTTAGTGATGCACTATCTGATTTTACAGATATATCTTTCTATAATTATTGGACAATGACACCTCTATATCTGCTACTACAAGAATGAGAACTAAACTAAAAACTGAGGATCTTAATATCAAAAACTCATTTGTGTATTTTTTATTTCTAAAGATATCTCCTGTACTCTAGTGACAAGTCTTAGGCGAGTACAACTTTTTCAGTGTTAATCCCCAATCTGCAGTCCTAAATAATGATCTCTAGATCAGTGTTCAGCGCCAGTATCCGTGAGACCATTTGGCATCGGACCTGAAATGAGGCCATTCAACCCATCGACTCTGCTCTGCCTTTCAATCATGGCTGATAAGTTTCTCAACCTCATTCTCCTGCTTTCTCCCTATGATCCTTGACAATCAAGAAGCTATCTATCTCCATCTTAAATATACTCAATGACCTGCCTCCACAGCCTTCTGTGGCAGTGAATTCCATAGATTCACCACTCTGGCTGAATAAGTTTCTCCTTAACTCTGTTCTAAAAGGTCTTCCCTTTAATCTAAGGCTGTGCCCTCCGGTCCTAGTCTCTCCTACCAATGGAAACATCTTCCCAACATCCACTCTGTCCAGGCTATTCAGTATTCTATAAGTTTCAATTAGATAACCCCTCATCCTTCTAAACTCCATCGAGTATAGACACAATCCGCAAATACCAGATCATTTGTTTGCTCCCTGGAGCCTGAGGTCTTTCCTCATGAATGTTCTTGTACAGGTCCAGGTAAGAGCATAAGAAATAGGAGCAGGAGTAAGCCATTTCACCTCTTGAATCTACACTGACATTCTATGGCTCTTTTACTACATCATCTGCACTATCCTGCTCAATTTGCATATTTTGTGATTCCTTGAGTACACTTCTCTAGAGGCCCCTTTACTTCAAGGTTATTAATTGACTCTCTTTCACTGCACAATACTAGATCCAAAATAGCCTATTCCCTAGCTAGTTGTTCTACGTATTGATCTAGAAGACTAACTTGCTGTGAACTTGTCCTCCAAATTATTATGGCAAATTGCATTTGCACAATTTATATTGCTGCAATCCCTGTGGAGGTTGATATCTTTTAAAGAGAGAGGAATTTCCCAGTGACCAATGGATAAAATTGAAAGTCAAGATTTTACTTTTTTGATTTTATTTTGCTAAAGTAAAAGTCTTAATGTAAATCATAACTTAATTGGCAAGTAATTAATACATCAAGTGAAAGACAAAGTGCTCTCACATTAACAAACACAAGCAAAACATGCCTTACAAAACTCTTTTAATGTACTGACAGATAGATAGCATTAAAGGAACAATTCCAAAATCACTTCCAGCTCTCCATCAGAGATTTTCTTTTCTCCACCATGCCAGTTTGAAATGCCCATTCTGACTAGCAAGTCACACCTCAACAAATCCCTGTTCTTCAAATTTTCAAGTGCCCGATCTGTTCTGTTCCTATCCTATGAACATAAACTGAACTCTTAGAAGCTTGTTTGTTAGCACAAAATATACCTCGTGGATGTTTTCCTTGCTGTTTGAATTTTGCCTTTACAGATTTTCCACAGCTCTGATTTCTTTGTTCCTGCATTTCAGCCACAACTGTCCTATAAAAGTTGCAAAATATTCTGTCACTCCTCCTTAATGGGTTCATATTTCAGCTTCCCTCCTAGACAATGGATTACATGGCATTTCTCTGAACCGAGGTGTTTATATTTCTTTCCGGAATTTTTTTTAAATATTTGAGTTAAAGGCATTTTAAAACAAAATTGTTTTGCAAAGCTCAGTGTTCATAACAATATCAACATTAAATACCTGTCCCGGATATCACATTTCCTGATTATACTCTGCACTACACTGTAGTTACAGTTGGGGAGCCGAGAACTAACTTCAGCAATGCATTCTGTGCTTAAATGTTTCTTCGTTCTACCCAAACTGTCTCTACTTGATTTTCTAACACCCTTTCTGTCTACTACCTTCATTGAATACATTATCGCAGGAACATCCACTTTTGCACTTTTCCTATCTGTTCAAAAAAATTAAGTTTCCTTTAGTTCCCTACTTTGATCACTTTGCAGCCGCATTCTGGCAAAGCTATTAGATCAAACCAAGTAATTTATAGCTGTGCTATTAATTTGTTGCAAATATTTAGCACATTCAGACATGGTGCCATTAACTTTGATCTTTGTTTTCCAGTTTTCAGTTCTGTCACTATAGTCATTAATAAGGCATGTCCATTACCTTTGTTACATTGACGAGAAACCAAACTGGTCCAGCTGTATAAAAATTGTTGCTTCAAGAGCAGGTTAAAGGCTAGGATTTGTTTGGTGAGTTACTCTCCTCTTGTCTCCCCAAAGCCTATCTGAAATCTACAAGTCAGGAATGTGATGGACTACTCCACTTGCCTAGATGAGCACAACTCTACTAACACTCAAACTTGACATCATCCAGGACAAAGAATTAACAAAACAAAAAGAACAAAGAAAATTACAGTACAGGAACAGGCCCTTCGGCCCTCCAAGCCTGCATCGACATGCTGCCCGTCTGAACTAAAACCCCCTACCCTTCCGGGGACCATATCCCTCTATTCCCATTCTATTCATTTATTTGTCAAAACACCCTTTAAAAGTCACTATAGTATTTGCTTCCAATACCTCCCCCAGCAGCGAGTTCCAGGCACCACCACCCTCTGTGTAAAGAACTTGCCTTGTATGTCACCTTTAAACCTTGCCCCTCGCACCTTTAAACCCATGGCCCAATAATTTCCCTACCACTGACATAAGGCTCACTGGCCTGTAATTAGTTGGATTATCCTTGCCTCTTTTCTTAAACAAATTGTGCTTCATTGACATGCATTCACCACCTTCAACATTTGCTCCCGTCAACAGGATGCACAGTGGCAGCAGTGTGTACTAACTATAAAATACACTGCAGCAACATGCCAAGGCTCCTTCAACAGCAGTTTCCAAACTTGCGGCCTCTAAAATTTAAGGTCGAGAGCAGCAGGTGCTTGGGAACACGAATACCTGAATTTCCCTTCGAGGTCACACACCATCTTGACTTGAAACTATATTGCCAGTCCTTCATTGTCACTTGGTCAAAATCCTAGAACTCCCTTGCTCACAGCACTGAGTGTCCTTGTATCCCAAGGACTGCAGTGGTTCATGAAGGCAGCTTACCATCATCTTCTCCAGGGAAATTAAGGATGCACAATAAATGCTGTCCCAGCCAGCAATGTCCATACCCGATGAATGAGTTTTTTTTTAAATCTCTCACTGCCTTTTCGTGATCCGCTCTGTATAATTTTACCAATAACACTGCTGTGCTCCAAAATCTGAATGTATTCTTTGATGTTTGAATTTTACCTTTACAGATTTTCTTCACCACCACACTTTATTGGTTTAAAACAAACACTACTGCCCTAGTTATTTGATTTGACTGATCCTAGTCTAGTTTAAGTGGATCCTGTCAGACACTCGATGTAGATTTTATTTTTCAGGACTGCAGTGTTCCTAACAAATTCCTACATGCTGTGCCTACGATGCACCACTTGTCCTGCTGCCCTGCCACGTCCATTGAAAATTTAAAAGAATGAGAAGTAACTGTTTGTCTGGATCCCACTTGCAGCAGTTTCCAACTTTACAATTCTGCAATAGAGCACTCTCATGACTGCTGTGTTGCTAAGAGGTATATTCAGGCCCCTGCTCATACTAAATTGCATTCTGTCCTTTGTAAATAATGTTTGGTGTAAATCTTCATGATTTAAGTAACATTAGTCTTTTCATTTCCCTGCATTCATCCTGACCATTATCCTCTTTGAGGTGTTTCTTATGGCATTACTTTGATTGCATAATACTCAAAAGCAACATATTTTCCATTTCTTTGTGTTCATATCCTAGTTATGGAAAAATAATGCTGTTGTAAAGAATTACTGAAGTAAACCGAGTTGAAGATGACTGAGATGTTGAGGAATTTACTTTTAAAAAATATTGTGAACACTATTTCCTGTGCATCTATGACTATTTTCAGCAAGTTAATTGTACTCCTTTTTTTTAAATAGGTTGCACCACTGTGCCTTGGAAGAGCTGGAGCTTGTGTGGTCACTGTAAAACTTTGATTTTTTTTTTAATGTAGATTTTGTATTATAACCATTCCACATTTCATAGAGAAATAAATATGTGTCAACACACCAACTTTATTGAAAAATTAAGGAAAACCAAAAGATTTATCAAATACTAATGAACGCAAAAGTTATTGAGACTCTAAATATCTAAATCATTAAACAGTTCTTCTGATCCTTGGAGGATAATATCCCAAAAATGAATTGGTGTGCACCATTTAAAACACTGATGGCAGAATTTTACTAGCTGCCCACGGACTGGAATATAGATGTGGACCTGTAAATTAGGATGTCATTGGTGTCATGACAGCTGCCTGCTTGCCCACCCATGCCTTCACCATGATTTTACGGGACCCATGGCCTAATTGAAATAATTAAGTGGGCAGTTAATGCCCAATTAAGGACCTGAAGCCACTGTTGTGATTTAACAGGTGGCAGGAGGGGCCTGAACAAATATGCAGTTTGGCATATTTATTTCTGTGAGCACCTTGTCAGGGAAGAGTTGAGTTGGGGCTGGGGGTGCCTCTTCCCTGGACATTCTGTGCCACCCGAAGGGCCTCTTCTTCCATCCCAACAGATTTGCCTCCCCACGTACATCCTACCCTGCCCTGCCCTGTCCAAGATCATCCTTCTCCCCTCCCCAAACATCACCTTTATTGGGAATGTGAATCTGGCCCCAACATGATCTCAAATTTGGGTTCTTCTCCCTCACGATTTGTTTTCCTCCTGAGCTTCTTGTAGTTCTGCATTGCCACTGATCCTGGTGGGGAGCAAACCTTTGGACTCTGGTGGCTTCCTCTTGGAGATGACATAAGTCCAACCTCATTCTAATTAAAGAGCCGTGACCCAAAAAATTAAAGTGGGGTGAGCTGGCCCAATGGGAGGAGGATTAACTAGCACAATTCGTGCCAGAGTGCAGGTTTTACACCGGTTTAACATATAATCCAATCCAAAACGGACACTTATCTGCTACATTTGAAGTCAAAGACTTTTATATAGTGATGGTTCTTGTATTGCCTTCCTAAAATAGAACCAAGAGATTGTGGACTGAAACTTTATTTTGAAATGCCTGCCATCCCTTTCTTAGAGTTTTGTTCTGGCCCCTATATTAAAGGTTCACTGCTCAAAATATTTGTTAAGTAGAAATGAATTTGTGCAGAGGAACTGAGTCTGTTTAAGGCATCCAGAAGCACTGCTGTAATTTTTGCAATAATGTTTTAGCTTGTAACCTAATGTGATATTAATCTGCTTCCCCCTCCGCCCCACCCCCCGACCCCCACCATCCTCAGGCCTTCCTCTTTGACCCTGACATAATTTCTACTTATAAGTTTTACTCTCTGACCAGTTTTTGATAAAAGTGCACCATGCAAGTTGTAGAATCTCTAGGACTTTTTAAAAATATGATTTTCTTTTCCATTTGTCTGAATTGTCTGATGTAATGATGAATGGAAACATTACCTGTCTAAGCCTAATAATGTTTGGATCAAGGGCACGTTATAAGGATAACTTTCCATTTCTGAGTTTTCATTGAGGAGCACCACATATGAGGATTTAGACTTGAATTGTAGGTGAAAAATGTTGTGCAGCCAGTCCCCATTCCATCTGTTTGTTTCACTGGGCAGAAGATGAGATGGGCTCAGTGTGTTATTCTAATGTGTACTATTGTGTGCTAAGAACGCAGAAATGGAAAATTATCCCTTCTATGTTGTATTTCATTGAACTATTGTCTTAATGGAATCTGTTATTTTTTGACCGTATTCTAAACATATTTCCTTTTTTTAATCCAAACCGTTTTAATTAAAATAAAGTAAATGCAGGTACATTTTTTTAATATACAGGAAAGTTTAATATATAAAAGATGCTATAAAAGGGTTTTATTTTGTTTCTAAAACCTATTAATGTGTTGGTTTTGCTATTTATGTGTAGCTTGTAACATTCCAAGTTTTTTGCTCTTTGACTCTACAAAATTCTTTTGCACATTTTGTGTTCTAAGGTGAGCTATTAACAGACCAAATATAGATTGTGCTCTGAACGTTGTGACTGTTTTAACGCTAGAAAATATCTGAAAACTCCCTGTTATAACGATGGGTTTTAACTCATGCCTTAATCTAAATCTGCAGTTTACCTTTGTTGTTGTAGTTTAATTTTGGTTTTTGTTCTTGTAAAACAGTCTATTTGCTATCATGTATTATCAGATATTATCAGCACAGAGTTGTGAACCAGAAAGTTCAATACTATCAAAGGAGTATTGATTTTATATACCACTCTCCATCTCAGGTGCAGTTGAATAGCTGATGAATTTTCACGAGTTGTAGGTTTGATTTAAACTTTTTTTTAACTTCTAACTGACTTGGGCAAGAAAGCAAACAAACACAATTTTACCTCTGTTCCATGATCCTCTACTTCATGGAGTTTTTGTTTTGACTTCCAGGAGGTACAAATTAAAAGCAGTATGCCATAATCCTGACCATAATGGCTTGACTACCAACTGTTTTACTTTGTGTCCAGTTTGATTTTGAGTTATTTGATTGTATTATGTTTGGAACTATTTTATTGTGAATATTCACTTTGGTAGAGTTACCTGCTTTAAGAAGTCCGTACAAACCACTTTTTGTGCCTTGATCAGAACTGATAACTTTGTTCCTACTAATTTTCCTTAAGCTGTATGTTTTGGGTTAACAATTATACCTGACACTTGCTAGTTATCATTTATGCAGAACACTGAATTGTGAGATATTGATGATATTGATTTACTCCATAAGAAATTATGTACTGATGTATGTAATTTTGTTGAATTGTACAGTCACAGAAGTACTTGACTAAGGATTTATTCTTTCATTTATAATTGACAATAATTGGTTCACTACTTTTTTCTATTTCAGTGTAGATAGCCAGTTGACTTCCAGGATCAGTGCTTGAACAATCTATTTAAGATTAACCTGAAAATTATGAACCACTTTTCCACTTCTAAACTACTAGCTCCTTCCAGCTATGTACAAATTCATTTTTTTTCCTCTTTAGATCCTCTTCGTTCCTAAATAACACTGATATGTGATGTAACAAAAAAACATGCAACCATGGCTAATTGCTTTCCTTTGAAATCCTTTACTTTTAAAGTGATAACATCCAATCATATCCTGCAGTTGGTAATTCTGAAGTCGCATTCCTTGTTTTCTTCCATATAACTTTTACTTGGCTGATTTATTTTGCATTTGAATCATGAATCACTAATTAAGTGTTGCCTTTATCTCATAATAGACCAAATAACTATTTGATAGGAATAGAGAATGAACAGTTGAAATTTTAACACAAAAGATCCCTTCAGGAGAGTGGTGGAATATAGAAAATAAAGCATCAGGATGGCCACAATCAGTAGGAGTGAAGTAGTTTTAGGGTGGTTATTGCTGTCAGAAATTAGCAGTGTTTTATTACCTAATTTATAAGCTCATGTATACAAATTCTTCCAAGAATTTCTAAAATGACATCCAAAGAAAGATTAGGTAAAGGAAAGGAGCATTTCAAAAGGTAATTATTGAGAATACGAAGAACCAGCATAAGAAAAATGAACTCTTCTAAGAGATAAGTTAATTTGAGAGGATAAAAAGGCATAAAGTAGGCTTATTCCAGGAAATATCTGCTTGGTTTTTGTATGTAAGGTCAGAAGAGAGGAAGTGAAATCCCACTCATGAACACACGATCTAGAGTGATACTGTCAGTACAGTACTAAGGGTGGTTCTATAGTCAAGTTGTTGTCCTTTGTATAATGTATTAAAGCAAGGCCCCTGCCTGTCTGTTTGAATAATTCAAGTAGCAAACCCATGGAAATATTGTAAGGTGCGCAGAGTTCTCCTAGTACTCAGATAAACATTTCTCTCGCAATCATTATTACTAAAAAAAAATTGATCAACTTATTGCTGTTGGTAGGACCTTGCTGTGTACAAAATGTTTAAATATGTATCAAAAGTCACTACACTTAAAAATAATTCACTATCTGTGATAGTGACATTCAGGTTGTAAACCACATTATATGCACCATTATTGTAAAGGTAATATTTTATCAAATTAAATTTCTATCCTTCGACTTTAATTAAGTTGATACCGAGTTCCTTCAGCTTGTTGATTTAAAAGCTGTGAGCAAGCTTTTAATTCTCTACGGACAATCGATCTGTTTCAAAATAAAGGAAAAGTACATCGCAGTTTGATATTTTACTGCTATATAGTATCTGACACAAAGTATGGTGTAATTATATTATCAGATTGCTTGGTGCCTGGATACACATTTTGTTATACTCAGATCCCTGGTAGTTTTGATGAAAGATGTATACAAAATGGTTGCACAGTGTATGGTAGCATGTATTGCTAGACAGTAATATTTGTGTTTAAAGTGTGTTCAATATAAACATTCTTAATTAAACTAATGTCTAATCTATTGGTAGACTGATACGTGTTGCTATAGTGTTATGATTCACAGTTACAAAAAGCTGTATTGTATAAGTGCAGTTATTTATCTTCCCTCTTTAATTGACCACCTCATAACAATCATAATTTATGTAACACTCCAGAACCAAGCTAAGCTAATTGCAGATAAATGTCACCTGTATGTTGTATTGCACTAATTTAAGTTCTGTTTCACCTTGAAGGATTTCTGTTTAACTGATCATAGCCTGTAGAGCAATGGTATTTGATCCTGAGTTTAGTTACTGACCCCGTAAACTCTGTCACCAAGAGTGCCTGAACCTATCCATTTAATATTGCCTGTTTCAATCTGGACTCAATTTAACTGCTCTTGAAACCTTCACCTATGCCTTTGTTTTCACTAGACCTAACTGCTCACACTTTCTGGTAACAAAAAAGCAACATACCATGGCTACTAGAAATCTGAAATAACAACAGAGTGCTAGAAATTTTCAATGGCTGTGGCAATGTGTAGAGAAAGAGTTAACATTTCAAATTGAAGAAAGGCAAGGTTGAGGAAGCCTTTTCAGCAATTTGTGACCAGGATGAAAGTGTTCGAGTCTCCTGATTCAGTATGGTCTTTGACATAGGATTCTCATACGGCGTTCTGTAACCAGAAGATGGATAAATGCAAGAAGATGAGCAACACTAGTGCCGCCAGCTAAGTCATTGTCAACAATTTTGTAAGAGAAACAAAAGTGGGTTTAAAGTGTTTTCTATTAGATGACAGAAGATGGAAAGTGTCCAAAGCTGCAATGCCACCAAAGAAAGTATAAAAGAAATGCAGTAGTTTACAAGGAAATTGTACTCAGCAGTGATATTGCAAATGTGCATTGCTTCCTCCCTAGTCGATCAGATGAAGTTTGTGCTACTTCCTAAAAAGGTTATGGTGTGCAAAAAATGTACATATAACTTAGTGACAGCCTTGTAAGATATTGTTTTGCACCATGGTAGTCAACTGTGTTCAACTGGACTGGTGTGGCTTAGGAGAGTCCCACGCTGCAATAGCTGCCTCTGCCACATTTGCTGCAGAGGAGGACTAGGCTGAGAACACATGAGAAATTATGAGCATCTATTTTCTCCAGGAACTCTTCTCAACTGGTTGAGCTTTATATTTTTTCTCATCTATTCCAAAGTCTGCCCAAACAGTCAACCCCAGGAAGTAATGGACATCAGCAACTGTCTATCAGTTATCAGTGTCAATGTTTGCCGTATTATCTTGCTTGCAGGTTTCTTTGAGGCAGGGATATGGATGCCCATGTGGTTGCATCCCAGTACCCAGTTAACCATGCAGAAGGCCTTTGAGTATCATCGATCCAAGGAATGTGGCTAAGCTGACATCATTGGCTGGGCAACCAAGTATCCTGATGGAAGTTAGCATATTCCAGGATCTCCTTAGGTGGTGAACATGCCCTGCCAAAGGATGCCAGGGATGTGCCTGAGATTGCAACAATGGAACTTGTCTAACCTTTTCTCCTGCTTAACATATGTTGTTCAAGTTTTACCATTGTAGACAGATATTCTGAGGATGCAGGTTTGGTAATCTTGCTGTTTGGTGTTCTCCGTGAGTTTGCTGTTGTTTGCAGTTTGATGTCCTCAGTGAGTTTGCTGCTGTTCCACATACTTACTCTGCTTGGACATAACAGCTGCAGCATTTGTGATGCATCTGTTCAGTGTCAAGCGTCAGATTGCTAGTGATCATGGAACCTAGATGTGTAAACTACTACGACCTCTAGCATCACGTTGTCAATGCTGATAGCAGGTAGTATGACCACATCCTGGACCACAACTTTTGCCTTCCTGATGCTGATTATCAAATCAAACTGAGAAAATTTATCTATTTACTGATAAAAGTCTTCCTCAGTAAGGAATGCTGTGTGTTATTGTTAGCATAGAGCAACTCACTGATGAGATATTGGTGCACCTTTGTCTTGGATCTGAAAGGAGGAAGGTTGATAGTTTTCATCAGTCTGATCAGTAAGTAAACATCCTTTGTAGAAGACCTGAAGGGATATGACAGGGATTTGAGGTGGATGTATTCAGCCAAGATCTGCAGACTGAAAAAGGGCAAATACTGTTCCCACAATTCTTACCTGAGAGATGCTTTATATTTGTTGTAGTCGATCCAGTCACTTTGATCTTGTACAATGGCAGATTTTATTATCGTGCATTTTCTGGGGCACTGTCCTCTGCAGATTTTACAGGAGTGCTAGTTTCTTATGCTTGATAGTTCAGGCAGCCTAGCATAAACACTTGAAGCTTTTGTTCATAGCAAGTGAGTCAATGGCTTTGCTAGGTTCTGCTAAACTGTGTGTTGGATATTCAGCTAGGTCAAATCAGGCAGGCTTTATCTAGTGCCTCAAACTACCTTTGTGATGGTGTTCTCCCTGGAGTACACCTCAGGGCAGTGTTCCACCAATCTGTCCCAACTGTTTATCATAGCCAGTGATGACTACCCCTCCCTTTGTTCTTAATAGAGCCATTTTCTTTGCTGAGGGACTTGTTGCCTTTTTAACTTCTGCATACATGCCCCTGAGAAGAGTAATATTTTATTCAAAACATTAACTCTGTTTCTCTCTCCACAGATGCTGCCAGATTTGCTCAGTTCCTTGAATATTTTCTGTTCTTAGTTTATATTCTCTCTGAGCCAGTCTTCCTCCTTCAACCCTTTATAAACTTGAGCTCCTCCTATAGTCATGCCCATATGCTCACTCTCTCAAAATCCTGTTCAGCCATCTGCCCGCTGCCCTATACTGATTCTGTGTCCGGCAAACTAGACTCATAGTCAAATATGTCCCTGGCTTGTTCCTTCCCACCTTTCTAACTCCCTTCAACACAGGGTAAATGTGGAAACATGTCCCCTCAAATTTGCTCTGTCATTCAATGAGTTCATGGCTGAGCTGATAATCCTTAACTCCACTTTTCTGCCTTTCCCTTATAAACTTCATTTCCCTACCTGATGTCCTCACTTACATGACTTGAGAAATAGCAGCAGAAATAGTTATTAAAACACCTGAAACATGCTCTGCCATTCAGTGGCCATCATGGCTTATCCTGACGCTATAACCCTGACTCCTCTGTAGATCAGAAATCTATTTAACCCAACCTTGACTTGAATTTCTGAGAGTAAAGAAATTCCTCCTCATCTCTGCCATAAAAGGGAGACTTCTTATTCTGAAATCTTGCTCCTTAGTTCTAGAATCCCCCAAAGGGAAATGGCCTTTCTCCATTCCCCAATCAAGTAGTCTCTCAATCATGTATGTTTCAATAAATTTACTTGATTCTTCCAAACTCCGATAAATGTTGGCCAACCTTTCCTCAGAAGAAACCCCTCAGACCAGGAATCAACCCATGATTTTCTTCTAAATTACCTTCAATGCAAGCCTATCCCTTCTTAAATATGGAGAACAAAATTGTACATTGAACTCTAGTTGTGATCCCCCCAATGCCCAGTATGGTCATAGCAATTCTAAATCTACTTTTAAACTACGTTTCCTATGCAAGAGGGTCCAGCATTCCATTTCTAATTATTTCTTCAACCGGACACTAAAGTTTTGCAATTCATGTATGAAGACACCGAGATTCCTCTCTACAGCAGAATTCTTTAGCACTCTCTATTTACTCTCTCTTACTGGGACAATATTTATTGCCTATTCCTAATTGCCCTGGAGAAGGTGGTGGTGACTACTTTTTTGAACTGCTGCAGTTTATTCAGTGTAGGTACATCCACAATACTGTTCAGGAAGGAGCCCTGGGAATTTGACGGAACAGCAATGTAGTTCCATGTCAGGATCGTGAGTGGCTTGGAAAAGAACTTGCAGGTGGTGTTGTTACCATGTATCGTCTGCCTCAGTCTTCCTAAATAGTGGTGTGGGTTTGGAAAGTGTTGTTTAAAGATTCTTGGTTAATTACTGCAGTGCTTCTTGTGGATGGTACACACTGCTACTACCAAGCTTCAGTTGTAGAAGGAGTAATATTTGTGGATGCCATGCGAATCAAGCAGGTAGCTTTGCCCTGGATGGTGTCAAGGTTCTTCAGTGTTGTTAGAAGCTGCAGTCTTCCAGACATATGGGGAGTATTCTGTCTCATTTGTGACTTGTGTCTTGGAATCCTGTCCAACATCTACTTGTCTCTGGCTCCTCTTGTAACTGCTATTTGACCAAACTACTCAGTTTCAGGTCAATGGTAACTCCCAGGGTGTTAATGGTGGGGTATTCCACAATGGTAATTCCACTGAGTTTCAAGGAACAATCATTAGATTCTCTCTCGTTTTAGATGGTCATAGCCCAGCTCATTTTGTTATGAATGTTACTTGGCATTTGTCAGCCCAGGCCTGGATGTTGTCCAGGTCTTGCTGCTTTTGGAAATGAACTGCTTCAGCATCTGAGGTATTACAAGTGATGCTGAAAATTGTACAATCGTTGGCGAGCATCCCCACTTTTGACCATGTGATGGAGGTAAAGTCATTGATGAAGCAGCTGAAGTTGGGTGGGTCTAGCAGAGGAACTCTAGCAGAGATGTCCTGTAACTGAAATGATTGACCTTAAACAACCACGTTCGCCTTCACTTGCGCTAGGTATTTCTCCAGTCAGTGATGTCCCCCCCCCCCGATTCTCATTGACTCTGGTTTTGCTAGGGCTCCTTGAATACAGACTCTATCAAATGCTACCTTGCTGTCAACGGCTGTCAATCTGCCTCACCTCTGGAATTCAGCTCCATATCCATCTGCCAAGTATTTTCCCAGTCACTTATCCTATCTATATCTGTTTCTAATCTCTTTGGGAGTGAGATGCTGAGAACTCATTTCCCCCTGGTTAGGGTCATCCAGGACGTTGGAGCACCCTCTCTGCAAGGAACTGATTTTTAGCACTGAGATTAGGAGAAATTTCTCCCCTCAAATTGTTGTAATTCTTTGGTGTTTGCTGCTCCTGAAGGCTGTGGATCATGTCCTGCACCAAGTGCTTGCTCTTAGGTGAGTCTTAAATATGATTTTTCTTTCTCTCTCTGTAAAAGTTTCAGTGTCTATTTATTTCTTATGAAATAACCAAATGCACCCAGTGTTGTTTTCCACCAGCAAAAATATCTTCTTTGGACCTATCATCCAGTAATCTGATGCCTCCCATCCTTGGGGGTGCTTGGCCAGCAGCTGGCCTCCATTTTCATTAGTATACTTTTCATCCAGCAGTTTGCTTTCTTTCCCATCCGGCATTGCAGTGTCAATACATGAAAGCACAAAGTTAGAGATATTAGAGTCATAAATGCGGAAATAGACCCTTTGGTCCAACTCATCCATGCCAAACAAGTTTCTCGAACTAAACTTGTCCCACTTGCCTGCATTTGGCCCATATCCCTCTCAACCTTTCCCATTCATGTACCTGTCCAAATATCTTTTAAATGCTGTACCTGCATGTACCACTTCCTTTGGCTGTTCATTCCACATACGAAGCCACCCTCTGTGTGGAAAAAGTTGCCCTTCAGGTCCCTTTTAAATCTTTCTCCTCTCACCTTAAAAATATGTCCCCTAGTTTTAAACTCCCGTACACTAGAGAAAAAACCTTTGCTATTCACCGTATCTATGCCCCTCATGATTTTATAAGGTCACCCCTCAAAGGAGAATATAAAGGGATGTGAGAAAGATTGAAATAAGGGAAAATTAAGAAAAATGAGTGAATTAAAGAAGTAGTGAGGTTGAGAAATAGACAAGAATAGGAAGGTTGAGAGATAGCAAGTGAAGAAGGAGTGAGGGAGTGAACACAGAATAGAGCATGATGAGCAACAAGCTCTGAAGCCAAGAAGACTAAAGGCTGAACTTGTGTGTCACTGGATTTGCAATGGAAACCTTTCTGGAACACCTGTGCAATGTCCAATGTGCCCAAACTGTTTCTGGTATATTTTAAATTTGAAGGCTTACCTTGAGGGTGGTTGGCAAAATACCACAATGAATATTTGTCACAGAATTTCAATTTTGTTGTGCAATGACTTCTGAGTTTTTCATTGATGAGGGAGCTGAAACTTGGGGGGAGAAATGAAGTATAAAATAACCACGGTTGAATAAAAATAACTTGAGCAAAGAAGAAATTGAAATAAAAACAGACTTGATTATTTTGACTGGCATATGATGTATTTATCGAATCTGCCTAACACAAGACAGTTGTGTTCCAATGTAGTTTTTCATATTATGCCTGGACCACACTGCCAGTGGAGGTGGTAGAAGCAGGCACGTTAGCAACGTTTAAGCGTATCTTGATAAACATGTGAACATGAGACAAATAGAAGGATAGATACCACACACGAGCAATAGGTAGCAGGTCTAAATAAAGATTAGGAATCAAACATGGGCTTGGTGGGCTGAAGGGCCTGTTCCTGTCCTGTATTGTATATTGATCCATGCTATTGAAGAATACATAATTTTTGTAAAAAACCTTTCAAAGATAAATAACTGCACATTTTAAAAATAAGCGTAATGTATTAGGTACTTTGTATACTTGTTTGAAACATATACACAGTTTTAACTTTTTTTTGGAACATTCCAGGTTTGTCCACTGTAAATCAAAATGATATTGAGCTTCCATTCTTATTGTAAAGTATATCTAAATGTATTGGTACCAAGAAATTTATAAATAATGGATAGTACTTATAAAATGCCTGTGATAATGTGTTCGTTTGTAAAACACCTTGCGGGAGCAACCTTTTTTCTTTTCCAACTCTATTAAACAATACAGGTACTGAAATCTGCAAATTAGTATGTTAATAAAAATTTGTATTAATGATAAGACAATAATGTGAAGTTTCTGTAAAATATATGGTGTTAAATATATTATGAGATCTGGTTGTACTGTATCCAAAGCTGGATATGAAACTCTGTATTGATTATCATTCCGTGATAAATTCCTTGATTAAAACATAATCTGAGTATCACTGAGAAAAGAGACATGCTGTGCAAGCTGCTTAATGCAATAAAGTCAAATTTCAATGGGGAACATTATTTTATATTGCGTGAGAAAAGGGTGCTGATTGCATACATTTTGCCTTCTTAAAGAATCTGTCTGGGCATTGCAACTTCTGGTTTTAAAAAAAACAAAAACGTGAGAACAATATTGATGAATTCTCTGTGACATCACTACAGCCAATGATTTGCCAATCAATCAGAACATTTTTCTCATGCAGCTTATATTGTTGCTGTCCTTTGAAATTTGATATTCTTGCTGCTTTTCTGATGAATGCAAAATGAAAAGGTTTAACAGGACGTCTCCTTTTCTTCAGGAATTCTCAAATTCTGTATTGCCAAGCAACCAATTAAAACATAACTATTGTTGCCTTCCATTTGCTTCTATAGGTAAGAATGGTCCATTGAAATCTATTTCTTTTAGAACAATGACATGATTAATTTAGCAAAGATAAACATCTATTGTAATTCGTCAACTAAACTATTTGTTTTTAAAAATACCTAAACAATGCTACTTCCTGTCATTAATGAGCACATTTTTAATCAACTACTAATGCAAAATCAAGAAACAGTTATGCAGGCTTGCAGCCAACCACATTACTCTTTTCATTTGTAAACAAAAGGTTTAAAATTGTCTATTTACTTGGTAGTTATATATCTTTGTAATATGTAGTGCTCAATGTGTGGAAACAAAATCAATAATTCACAAAACAAGAAAATCTTTACAGTTCAAGAATTTGTTCATTTTGTGTACACCCTTCAGCACATTATTGCAATTCTGATTGCTTAAGGTAGTTTTTGTGTTTACTTGTACTGCTTCCCTTTTGGACTTGGCTGACTGCTATTGTTGACCCAACTTTTTATAAAAACAATTTGCATTACCTGTTATACCTTAATTAGTTTCCTGTGGCATTGGAGAATACATGATGTGTCAGCTTCAGGATAACATAAGAACAACCTCAGGAAGGCCTGTACGGATAAATTGTGTTTATTTTACATGCTGTAAAACTTTAACTTCAACGTATATGTTTAAAGGATTCAAATAAAATGTAATTGATAATTTATAAAGTTTGAAGATTTATTGGACGTATATAGCTGTTGTTTTGGATGTAGCATTTCACTTGTTATTTGTTGTCATTAGAAGGTGCTGATTTTTTAACAGTTTGCACAGCGTAGCACAATAAATCAAGTTAAGAGGCAGTCTGATGCAACATCTTAGCATTTCAAATTGGGTCCTGTTCAATACACTTCAAACATTTTCTTCAGAATGCACCCAAAAAAATCTTTAAAATAATGAGGTAGACCTTAACTGATTAATTAAACATTCACTTTTATTCACTAACTGTGTGGAAATAGGAACAAGTTATAGAAAAGAAAATTGAGCTTTCAGAGTCTCCATCAGGATTTGAAAGCAGCCCTGAGGAAATAAATTAGGATACCAATGCAGCCTCTCTGCTCCTATGATGCTGCTTGGCCTGCTGTGTTCATCCAGCCCTGCACCTTGTTGTCTCAGTGAAAACATGCGTTCCTTATGGTTACGGCCATGCAGAGACATTTTCTGCATGCTTGCCAAGGCATGTCCTAATCCTTGAAGAAACTGAGCCCTTTTTTTCCCATGGGGAAACAACTCAAGGACACACAATCAATACCACCTTTGTTGTTGTGTTTATAGTTTCATTGAAATGGGATAATTTTACGATGTAAAGGTCATCATGCAGATTTTTGCTAGAGTGAGTGTAACTATGGATCGACGGCTATAACATTGTGGACCATGTCTTACACATATGCTTATTCACTTTATCCTGATGGCTGCCATTGACCAGAAACTGAACTGGATCAGCCATATAGATACTGTGGGTATAAGAGCAGGTCAGAGACTATGAATTAACATGGAATCTAGGAGCAGCAGTAGGCCATTCAGCTGGTTGAACCTGTTTTGCCATTCAATATGATCATGCCTGAACCTCTGTCTCAGTGCCATGCTTCCACTTCTCCCCATTTTCCTCAATGCCTTTAAAATCTAAAACTTTATTTCTTTCTTTAATATACTCAGTGACTTGACCTCCATAGCCCTCTGTGGTAGAAAATTCCACAGGTTCACGATCCTTTGAGTGAAGAAACATTGCCTCATTTCAGTCCTAAATGGCCTATACCATATCCTGAGACTGTAAATACTGGTTCTAGACTCTCTAACCGGGGGAAAACTCCTTCCCATTTCCAGTTGCCCAGTCCTGTTAGAATTTTTTACATTTCATTCAGATCCCCTCTCCTCTTTCGAAACTCTAGTGAATACAGCCCAGTTGAATCAATCTCTCCTTATACGACAGTCCTGCTATCCCCAGTATCATCCTAATGAACTTCCCTCTATGGCAAGTATATCTTTTTTTAAGTAAGGAGACTAAACTGCAAGAATTACTCCAGGTATGGTCTCACCACGTCCCTATATAACTGCAGTAAGATATTTCTACTTCTGAACTCAAATCCTCTTGCAATGAAGGCCAATATACCATTTGTCTTCCTAATTGCTTGCTGTACATGCCTGTCAATGTTCATTGACTTGTTACAAGGACACCCAGATCCCTTCGTACATTTACATTTCCCAATTTAAATAATACTCCACTTTTCTATTTTTCTACACCGAAGAGTATAACTTCACATTTAGTCACATTGTACTGTATCTGCCATGTGTGTGCTCACTCAGTCAACTTCTTTACATCACCTTGAAGTCTCCTTGCATCCTCGTCACAATTCATAGTCCCACCCTATTTGTGTTGTCAGTAAACTTGGAAATGTTGCATTTGATTCCCTTATCCCGGCCACTTTATATATCATATCATGAATAACTGAGGCCCAAGCACTGATCCTTGTTGTACTCCTGCTATTCTCAGTCTCTGCTTCCCATCTATCAACTCATGCCAATATATTGCCCCTATCCCATATACTTTTGTTTTGCCCATTAACCTCCTATCTGGAACCTTACCAAGGCCTTCTGAAAATCCAAATGCATCCACTTATCCATTCTACTAGTTACATCCTCAAAAAAACTCCAGTAAATTTGTTAAGCATAATTTGCCTTTCATAAACCCATGCTGGCTTTATCCAATCCATTAAATGATTTCTAAGTGATCAATTATCACATCTATTACAATAGACTGTAGCATTTTCCCCACTCCTGATGTTAGGCTAACTAGAGTGTAATTCCTTTTCTTTCTCACTCCATTGTTAAATAGTGGAGTTACATTTGCCATCCTCCAATTTGTAGGAGTTTCTCCAGAGTCTATAGAATTTTGAAAGATGACCACCAGTGCATCCACCGTTTCTAGGCTAGTTCCTTTAGCATTCTGGGATGTAGATGACCAGGCAGTGGTGGTTTGTCAGCCTTAAACACCATCAATTTACTTCCTTCTTCCCTTTCGCTAAGCCCTTGGTTCCTTAACATTTATGTGAGGTTATTTGTACCATCTTTTGTGAAGGCAGAAACAAAGTATGTATTCAATCTGTCCTTTCTTTGTTCCCCATTATAATTTCCCTGGCTTCTGATGATCAGTGACCTATATTTGTCTTTACTGATATTTTTCTTTTCACATATTTATATAAGCTTTTATTATCAGTTTTAATGTTCCCTGCAACATTATTCTTGTACTCTATTATGCCCTTCCTGAATGAACATTTTGTCCTCCTTTGCTGAATTCTACAATTTTCCCAATCCTCAGGCTTGCTGCTTTTTCTGGGAATTTTATATGCCTTCTCTTTGGATCCAATACTATCTCCAATTTCTTTTGTAAACTAATGTTGTGTGTCTTGTCCCATTTAATTTTTGCATCAAACAGGAATGAATAATTTTGTAATTCATGCACATGTTCTTTTAAATGTTAACCATTGCCTATCCAGTGTCAACCATTTTAGTACATTTCTCTATTCTTTCCAAATTTGTCATACCCTAGTAGTTCTCTTTATTTAGATTCAGGACTTTAGTTTTGGATTCAACTACTACACTCTCCATCTTAATGAAGAATTCTTTAATAGTATGCTCACTCTTCCCTAAGGCACCCCACACAGCAAGATTGTTAATTAATCTTGTCTTATTGCATTGTACTTAGACTAGAATAGCCTGTTCTCTGGTTAGTTCCTTCTCCTGTGGAAACCCTTCTCCACAGTATCATTGCTAATTTGGTTTATCCAATCTTTATGTAAGTTAAAATCACCCATGATTACAGTTGTACCCTTATTGTATGCATCTTTGATTTCTTGTTTAATGCCTTACCTTACATCTCCACTATTATTTGGGAGTCGAAAGACAACCCTCAACAATGTTTCCTGCCCCTTGATGTTTGTTATCTTTACCCATTCAAATTCCACATCATTTCCATCCTCATAATTGCATTGAATTTTATCCTTTCTTAACAATGCTACCCTACCTTTTTTGCCTTTTTGCCTGTCCTTCCTAAATAATGAATGTTCACTTCCCATCCTTGATCACTGTGCAACCATGTCTCTATAATCGCAACTAAATAATAACTGTTCATATCTGTTTGTCCTGTTAATTCATTTTCCTATTGCAAATATTCCAAGCATTAAGATTCAAAGGCCCAAGACAATGGTCCTGGTCCTACCTAGAGGCAACCCGTCCATCTTGTACTGGTTCCACCCTCATCAGAACCAGTCCCAATATCTCGGGAATCTGAATCCCTCCTATACCATTTCTCCAGTCAACTATTCAGCTGGTATATCCTGTTACTTCTACTTTCGCCAGCTTGTGGCACTTGTAGTAATTCTGAGGGCTTTAAGGTCCTACATTTTTTAATTTATGTCCTAACTCCCTATATTCTGCTTGTAGGACATCACAGTTTTTTAAAATCTGTATCCTTGATACCAATATATATCATGACTACTGGCTGTTGACTCAAGCCTTCAGAAGGCCCTGCAGCTGCTCTGAGACATCTTTGACTCTGGCACCAGGGAGGCAACCTACCATTCTCTTTGTGGCTGCAGAAATAGTTGTCACTTCCCTTTACCATTGAAGTGCCCATCTTTACTGGCCTGGCATTCTTCTACCTCCCATCTATGGTGCTATCTACTGCTATTCCCTGAGAAGTCTGTTAGAGAGCGGGATGGCCACAGGGGACATCTGCACTACCTGCCTTCCCCTACTTGCTGGTCACCCAACTACTTTCTGCCTGTTCAGTCTTTACCTGTGGTGTGACCACCTCACTGAACATGCTGTCCATGACACACTGAGAATCACAGATGCTCCACAGTGAATCCCCCACCCATTCCAGTTCTAAAATGTGGTTCGCAATTAGTTGCATGTGCCCCCACTTCCTGTACATGTCATCACCAGCAAAATTAGAAGTGCCCATGACTTACCACAGAGTGGAAGAGAAGCATACCTCTGCTACAAGCTCTACTACCTTGACTTCCCTTTATATATAAAGCTTGAAGTGTCCTATAATTCTGCACTTGGTAAGTGACTTCCTGTCTCCCCAGTGCCTATCCACCCTCTATGAGACACAAGTGATGGAATACTCTCCACTTGTCTGGATGGGTGTAGCTCCAAAAACACTCAAAGCTTGACACATCCAGGACAAAACAACTCGCGTGATTTGGCAGTTCCAAACACAATCTTCAATATTCACTCCTTTCACCACCAACACCCAATGACAAAAGTTTGAACCATCAACAAGCTGCACTGCAGTAACTCACTCAGACTCCTTTGACAGCACCTTCCAAAACCATGACCTCTCCCACCTAGAAGAACAAGAGCAACAGATGCATTGATCACCTCCACCTTCAACTTCCCCATCAAGTTGCGCACCATCCTGACTTGGAACAATATCAGCATTCCTTTGATAATAGATAATAATTGATAGTAGTTTTCTGAAGAAGGGTCCAGGCCCAAAACGTCAGCCTTCCTGCTCCTCTGATGCTACTTGACCTGCTGTGTTCATCCAGCTCTACATCTTGTTATCTCAGATTCTCCAGTATTGGCAGTTCCTACTATCTCTGAATCAGCATTCCTTTGTTGTTACTGAATCAAAATCCTGGAAATTCCTTTCTCACAACA